AAATATATGTTTATCATATAAAGTCTAATGTTACAACTAATCGGGGATCCCTTTAAGACATAACACAGCATGACATCTCCAAGGAAAATAGGATGACAAGGTCCCAAACCTGGAAACAAGCTCTGGAGGTGCAGCTATGCTTCCTGAATCAGGAATTAGAGCTAGCTTTTTGATTTTAGAACAAACAGTTCAGACGATGAGTTATTTTAATTAACCAGGCAAATCTGACTGAAATCACAGATCTATTTTTCAAGGGAGACCTGGGACTGAAAGCAGCCTAAATATGCATGTTTTTGAACTGTCGGGTGGGACTGGAGTACCTGGAGAAAAGCCATGCAAACACAGGAGAACATGTACACTCCATATAGAAACATCCCAATACCAGGAACTGTGTTACTAACTGTTGTGTTTGAATCATTTGTTTCTGTTTCTGAGGCATAAAACGGACCTAAGCTGAAAGTTGAACATCATAATGAAGTCAACAGAATGGAGCAGCAAGCAAAATAAATGTCAGTCCCAGAACCAGACAGGAAGCTGGATCCCACCTCTGGGAATTTGCCTTTTCTTTGAGGTTTTATTTCTTTTTACAGACTCATAGTTTGTCTGATCTGTAAAAATTGACGATGGCATGTAGCCGAAACACGTCCTGTTTTCTGCCCTTATTAAAAACAAGGTATTTTTTGGAGTGCTGGTTTTCTATTTTTAATTTTCAAAAAAACAAAACACTAGTAAATTGAGACAGGATTTTATCATTAATTACAATTAGTAAAAGAAAAAAAGTGTTGTGGAAAAAGAGTTACCAAAGTGAGTCAGCTGAAAAAAGGTCAGCTGTCGTCCAGAGATAACTCCTGATGTTGGAGAAAGCGGATCAGACCTCCAGGAAGCGGCAACCTCTTCAACTTTCGACGTCCAACCAGGTGCAGGATCTGCATCCTGCAGAGCTGCAGAAGTGGCCGTGGCAGAGCTGCAACACACAAAGACTGGTGGTGATACATAATAAATACAATAAAACAGCAAAGTTTCATTTCAGAGTTCCTGCAGCAGATCAAGCTGGAGATGGTCAGTTATAGGTCACCTGCTTTTTCCTTGATGACGCTCCATCCAGAGTAACTGTCTAGGTGTTCCATCAGTCTGGAGCAGAGAGTCACGTGACCAACATAGTCCAGTAGGATGTCAATTATTGGCCCTGCCCACCGAGAGATACTGGGAGCCGAGATCATCTCACAGAACTGTCAATCAAGCAATCGATGGATCAAATCCTGTTTTCTGTTATTTCTCTTCTTACTTAACATTGTCAGCTAACACCAAAACAAAATTACATCCTCGGAACAAATGTACAAGTATGTCCAAGAGTTAAAAACTTTGTTGAAACTGTATTTTTATGTCCATCAAGAAACTGAATTCTGGTTGTGTCAGATGTCAAGAATGACAGGAGGAGCATAGGAATCCCCGATTACTTGTAGCATTAGACTTTATTGGATAATCAGATATTTTAAATGTAAAATAAAGATTGTAAAAATACTGTAGGCTGTTTTGTTTTTATATTTTGACATGGACGTGGCCATTTTATTTACACACAAAGCATTCTGGGTAAATGATGACGTGGATAGGTCCTCGGTGCGAGGCTGCTAGCGAGCTATATCCACCCTGAAGGTTAATCTTGGACAATATCTGATGATCGACTCTTTTAAATGAAACCAGAGAGCGTTGACAGAGAGGAGAAGGTAGAAATGACTCAGCCTGGAACTGAAAATATAGATGGAGGACAACAGAGCTGCTTCATGGAAGAAGAACCTCAGCTTAGCCTGTTAGCTTTAGCATTAGCCCCGATGCTATCACCATACATATGTATTAGCTCAGCGCTACACATTCTCCTCTCGTCACTGAGGTCCTCCATCCACATGACAGAGAGGGGAACACAAAAGTGACTCAGCCTGCTACTGAAAATATGGATGGAGGACCTCAATTTAGCTTGATTGTCGCGCTAGCGCTGAGCTAATACATATAAGGTAATATAGCGTTGGTGCTAGCGCAAAAGCTAACAGGCTAAGCTGAGGTTCTTCTTTCATGAAGCAGCTCTGTTGTCCTCCATCTATATTTTCACCGAGGACCTATCCACGTCATCATTTACCCAGAATGCTTTGTGTGTGAATAAAATGGCTCCGTCCGTGTTAAAATATATTTTTTAAAATTTACAAAACTAAACTGCGAAAAGTGTTTTTACAGTCTTTATTTTACAGTTAAAATAAATGTTTATCAAATAAAGTTTAACGTTACAAGTAATCAGGGATCCCTTAAAGGTTAATTTTATTCAGGTTCAGACATTTGTTTTCTGTAAATTCATATTTTGGAATCATCTTATAAAAGATAGACTATCTCTCTTTCAACAAGTAACGTTGCTTTCAGTGTCTGACCCATCGACTTGAACAGCTGGTTTCAATCGAACATTTTTCACCTGAACGCCTCTCGTCTGCAGCGTCTCTGGCAGACTTTGGTCAGGGTTGTAGTTCCCGCCCGGCCGACTGGTTTTGATGGGTGGATGAGACTGGCCACCATATATGCAGCTGAAACAGGAGAGGGCCTCGCCTCCATGGTCCAATAAGTACTTAAACATGGGAAGGTACTTCATGGAGAACATGTAGACAGCGGGGAAGGTGGTGGGGTGGGTAGGGATGCCAGCATTGATGTCGGCACCGTGCTCCACCAAGAGTTGGACCGTCTGAATGCAGCCAATTCGCACAGCCACCAGCAGGGGCTTGAACATGTCGAGGTTTGGGTCGGCACCGGCAGCAACCAGCATGCGAACAGCATCAACGTTGTTGTTGATGACGGAGAAGTAGAGCGCGGTGCTGCGGCGGTCCTCGTACAGCCTCGATCTTTCTTCCGACAGCTGAGCGTTGACGTCGAATCCCGCCTTGATCAGAAACTCCAGAGTGTCGTCGCGGTTTCGTTCTGCTGCCAAGTGCAGTGGGCTGATACCGGTCCGCCTGACTCGGGCCTTACTGGTAACCACGATTAACATGGAGATGATTCTGTGAACAATAAACCATCCAGCACATAGACTCAACATTATAGGACAGAAATGCATCCCATCAAATGTTTCTAGTTGTTACAAGTTATAACAATGTGTTTGATGAAGACATAACTATTGTGAACATGACCTACGATAAAGAGAACCTGAAAAAAACTACAAACCAGTACATTGCACCCCAAATGAGCCAAAAGAGCCTCTTTCTGCAGCTTCTAAACTCCATCTGCAGTGGTTGTTGAGCTTGTCACCACTCCAGATGAGTGGTTCAGGGTACCTGCTTGGTTTTTTTTTTTTGTCTATGGTCTGAAACATGTTTTTACTAGGTGTCTTTAAATGCATCTAATATCTTACTGAACCTGATTTTAGTAGTTTATATAAACCTAAAATGGAAATGAGCTATTTTGGTTTTACTATGAAATAATTTTTGGATGTCCATAGTTTTAAGATATAACATGCAATTAGTTTGGTAAAAACCAGACCCTTGTCCTTGACTTTGCTTTGTATGAGGGTCTGGACTCGCTGGCGTGGCCTCTGTTGAAGTGTGTATACGTTGCTGTGAAGGAGGCTAAGCTAAGAAGCTAACCGGAAATCGCGTGTGCTGTAAACAACCATACCGAGAGGAGAAAAGTACCGAGCCGAACGAGACGACTTTAAATGAGAGCTGCTGATTTGTCAAACAAATATAATTTAATTTGGAAGCCTTATCAACAAGGACTGGCTTCATTCACTTCCTCCACTGCCGTATGCTAAAATAACTAGCAGACACTGTGCAGAAAATCGACGTGCTGTTCTCTGATTGGCCGGCTAAAAATCTGCCAGCGAAATCCTTCTCTATAGGAGAAATCCCAGATGTAAGGAAACTAGAATTGAGTGGAACTGTGTAGGAAGGCCAGGGCCAGGCTATAATACAACGTAATGAGTTGTAACACAACACTAACATTTTCTTGTATGCAGATAACCCTGTTTTATAATAATATAAGACTTAACATTCTAAATACTTTTCTTTCTGTAAATTAATCAAGTCTTATAACTTTCATTTTATAGTGTCCTCAAAGTTTCAGCTATAGTTGCTTCAAATTTTGAGACTCTTAAATATTGTGGTAGCACCAAATTGAATCGAATTGAATTGGATTGAATAAAACTTTATTGTCATTGCACAGAGCACAATGAAATTACAGTTCAGAACACCCATTCAGAAGAAGAAAAAACTCTAGCCTTACGTTTAGACCTGTGGAAACATATAGGTTAAATTTTTGTCCAACTTTTACTTACGTGTCACTTCCTCTCTGAGCAGCTATGTGAAGCGGTAAAAGTCCTGTTTTTCCAGGCTTGTTGGCATCAGCGTTTTGAGAAAGGAGCAATTCCACAATTTTTGTATGTCCATTTTTAGTAGCTTCATATAAAGCTGTGGCTCCATCAGCCGCCTGAGTGTTAACATCTGCACCTACAAGAACATGAAATTAAAGATTTATTCTGGAAGTAGACATTTGTGGGTCAGGTTAAACCTAAAACTAAATCTAAGAAATTAAACCAATAACAGATAAATTCAATTCAGTTTATTTATATAGCACCAAGTCACAACAACATTGTCTCGGGGCACTGCACATAAAAAAAATAACAATCTAAAGAAGCCAGCAGACTGTGTTGAATCACTTTGTCACGAGCTCAGATTTCAAGAGTTTGTTGATTAGAACACAAATATGTCGCACAGTGCTGAGGTGAGGAATCTTCTACTGTTTGGGTTTAGCCAAGGACGACCGTTCCAAAATGGCGGCCGGATTTCATGCGCCGCAGCAGGGAATGCTGGATCTACTCTGTATACTGTCTGTCTCAGTGGAGGTTGGAGTCCAGGGTTGTCCCTTGTCTCCGAGCCTGTTTTTAATGCTCATGGACAGGATCTCAAGGCTCAGTCCTGGAGAGGAGGGTGTCTGGTTTGGGAACCACAGAGTCTCATCTCTGCTGTATGCAGATGATGTGGTTCTGTTGGCGTCTTCGGACCAAGACCTTCGGAGTGCACTGTGGTGGTTCACAGCTGGGATGAAGGCCATGGTTCTCGACTGGAAAAGGGTGGAATTCCACATTATTACAAATAACTTCATTTCTGGACATTTATGGTTTGATTTCTTTGTATGTATGGATCACTTGGGTTGTTACCGACATCTGGTCAAAATTTCACGTCATTAGCACCTCTAGTAATATATTTACTGAGAAAAATGTTGACGTGGTCAATACTTATTTTACCCGCTGTATAAAGGTTTGCAGGAAACTGCGTGAGCACAGTTTCCTACATCTGAATATTTTGGTGCGGCGCACTTTTCTAAATTTGTCCGTACCTCAACTTTTAGTGTGAAAGCTGCAAAATCCTTTATGCATGAGGCCCCTGGTGAGGCGTATTCTCAGTCATCAGGACATTGCAAATATATAAAAGTTATTAAAAAGCAACTGGATTTCTGTTCTGCACCTGAAGAAGTTTGGCTTTCCACCTGAGAAACTTTATCAATTTGAAACTGGAAAGAGTAGAGTTCCAATATGTGAAGACATGAGACACTCCACAATACAAGCTAAAATCATATTCATATCATTTTTAAATTATTTTTTTCCTGAAAGCAGAAGTGTTTGTACATGGTCACTACAGTTGCAGTCAGTCAATAGTTATAAGTAGCATAACAATAATGACAGAAACTTTAGATTTATCTGGTGCAACAACCCATCCTCTTCATTGGTCTAAACAAACATTTGTGTATTCCCTATGATTTGATTTGATTTGATTTATTGATTCAACAGGAAAAGATTACTAAAAATCAAGCCTGACTCAGCATAATTGCTGTTTTACAGCAGGTTCCTGTTCTGCAGCACATAAAACACTCAGAATTACAGCATCACAATCACATCATTATACACCATAGACACAAAGACAAACAAGCATACCAAATTTCAGGAAGGCAGCATTTACAAAATAAGATTTTGGACGAAAGTATTCTCATGTTGATTATTCTCATGTTGAAGGCTGAAGTGTCAGTGTGCCTGTGTGTGTTGAGATACAAAAATAGTTGCAGCGCCAGCTAGTGGCCTGACAGGGATGTTACATGTCCTGAAGAGCTGCTCATGTGTTGACCCATGCGTTTGCAGAGGCGGTCAGTTCCTCCAGTATTAAGGTCTGACCTTTCCCCACTCAGACTGTGGGTTCTGTTCTCAGGATGGACCACTCTCTGAGAATCCTGTTTGATTTGAAATGCACCAGGATGTTGTTTTAAAATAAAAACATAAAAATCTTTTGAGATTCTTCCTTCACATTTAAGATAAATATATTCATTAGCAGTCAGATTATAAAATCCAGCTTCTATTTAAAGCAYAATTCACAAATACACTCAAAGGGGGATCGTTTCCAGCATCAGGTAAATTATGTTACACCAGTTAATTTAAAAAAAACAACCATTCGATATGGAGTTTTGTAGATTTTTAGCAAAAAAGATTTATTACAAAAACCACAAGCTATGAAATAATAATACTTATCTTGATATACGGATCAAATAACCCAAAAATCCTTCAAAAATAAGATTAGTTTCAATTTAGTTCACACAGTCCCTGTCAATATAGAAACACAAAAYGTTAAAAGTCCAAACATTCCCGTTTCTTTTTTTAAGGTTCGATTATTGTCCACAACAGAGTTCCATATCCTGGGAGAATTTCTCCGCTTTCATTCAAAGTCCCAATCCAAAACGAAAAAATCCAACGTGTCAAAAAACTCCCCCCAACAAATGAGAAAAAATATGTGGTACCACCAAAAATCCCCAAAAAGAAAGTAAAGTCCAGATCTCACCGGGAATGTCTTCCTTTCCCTCCCGGTGGCGTCTTCTCGCACCGTCGGCGTCCTCCGGTAAATGGGCGTCCTCTTGCACCTGTCAGCGTTTCCTGGGTACAAGCTCCAAACCAGCTCCGACAGCGCACGATCCGTGGCGCTGGGACAAACTTTGACTGCTGTTTTAATCTCTCCTTTTTTTTGATCGATCACTTATTCTAAACTTTCAGTCAAATCAAATCTCCCGCTGCACGATCTGACGGTGAGCGTCTTCCTCTCTGATTGCGCCGCCGCGTGCCGACGCACACGCCCCTTTTATCTACTAATTTCAGCCACACCTAAAAATCAGCATGACCTGCCCAAAAATCAGTTTTACAAGTGGAAATATGGAATAATTTTTACAATGAAATAACAGCAACTGTTATACAAATCAGATAATACATTTTCTCTTCAATGTATTCTATATAGGAAAAAAACAAACAGTGGTTATGTTACAAGATCTAGCTAACTATCAGATCAATTAGTAGTCAAATAATAAATAATGAGCACATTTAGTGTTCTGCAGGGTTATGCTAACGCTTGTCAGGTGTCATTTATCAGTAGAGGTATTGGTGCATGTTAGAAATCTTGGTCAGCAGAAATAAATAAAATTCTTATATAAAAGTCTTATATACCATGTTTGATGAGGAGACGAAGTGCAGCAAGTTGGCCGTTCTGAGCAGCAGTAAACAGCGGAGTGATGCCGTACGAGTTGCGAACATTGTGTTTTGCTCCAGCCTTCAGCAGCATCTCGCAGATCTCCAAGTTGTCTCTGCTCGCTGCTTCTTGCAGAGCCGTCCATCCATGATAGCAGCACGTGTTCACCTCTGCTCCAGAGTTCAGCAGCGCAGCAACAATGGCAGGATTATTCCTTTCACATGCTGTGAAGAAGAAACTGATTTAATGTTGAAACAGTCCACCAGACCCCAGAAACCACTTCAGAGAAAAAGAACCCCTGATGATTTTCTTGTCCTTTTCCCTTTCAATGACATTTTTCCATATTTTCCATATTTATTTATTCATTTCATT